AATTAAAACAACCACGATCACATATTTCAATCTTATTAAAATACATTTTTTATTTTTATACAATAAAAATAACAACATTATTTTATTGAATAAACTTTTTTAAATAGATGTAATAATCATAACACAACAAATAATTTTGTTGTGTTATGATTATTACAACTGGCAACTTGAGTTATTATTGTATTTAAAAATTACTAAACACACTATCAAAATATTTAGACATAACTTGTTGAATTATATAAAATTTTTTTGTTTTTTAAATCGTAAATAACACTTATTAAATAAAAGTTAGTGGTTCTTGTGTATTATTAAGTGTGTAATATGTGTTCTGTTATTTGTAAGTGTTAAAAAACAGTTACATAAAAATGCAATTTATTTAAATTATATAAATTTAAAAAAGTTCATCATAGATAGTAAATTGTTAATAATTATCTATAAATATCAATATGTTTTTTGGTTGAATCAAAAATGTCAGGACAACAATAATAATATATTAATAATTAAATTGATGATATAATAAGTCAAAAAATATTTATTATAATATCAATTTACTTTTTTTATGATTTATAATTTATCATAGTTACAATAAATGAGTTATAAAAATTAAGTTTTTTTAAAAAAATAAATTATTGACTTTATTAAAATATAAAAAAAATCCTTATAAATTGTTTGTTTCTAAACTTTTTGACCTATTTTATTTTATTTTTAGATTTTTACTTAAAATGCAATAATTTAAAAAGAATTATTTCATCTTCACAAAATCAATTAAAAATATAGAAGACAGGAAAACAAACAATCTCAAATCTTGAAATAAATAAGATGCAATACCATTTTGAAAAATCAACGTTTCAAAGCACACCAATTTGTTCTTTTCAATCCTCTTGTAGTGATTTAAAAACAATTTCAGCGCAACCAATGGTGATAAATACGTCTCAAAATCTTTTATTTCGAAAAAACAAACAATTGACAAAACCACGACAAACAAAAACAAGAAAAGTAAAATATATAGAAAATGCAAAAAAGCCAAAAATAGAACAAAAACCTAAATATAAAACACGCAAAAGTCTAACACGGAAGAAAGTCGAAACCTCATTAAATCGTCAACTTAACGAAGATAAATCACTGACTGAAATTGATGAGAACGTTGCAGCATTGTTGGGAAACGGACAAAACAAAATTAAAGTGAAGTCTTCGTATTATCAAAATCAAAACAATATTGATGAACAGCCAGTTTTATTTCTTTCCGATAAAATGAGTCTAATTTATACAAACATTCACAAAAATACTATTACAAAGAATTTGGTCGAATACTTTGAAAATGGCAAGAGTGGCGGATGGAATATCATAGATTTGCTTTTATTTAAAGCAGTGTCTCAAGGGGGAATATCTAAAGTCGAAGGAATTATTGATGACCACCAAGTAAAATACTTTATGTTTACACTTGGTGTAGTAGAAATTTCTGATATCCGAATGACACTTTATAAAAGAGTTGAATATTTAAGACTCAAAGTTGATGGAATGCTTCACTGACTTTGTTTTATTTCATTGTGTGTTATTTATGTTTTTATTTTATTTAATAGCTAATTAGTTTAATATATAACAACATTATATTTAATTATAAAATTGTAAATTTCGATCATCTTATATATTAATATATATAAATTTAATTTATTCAGAACATAATTGGAAAAATATTTGTTTAATATATAATTAATTTTGAATAATATCATAATTATTAAAGTCAATAAATAAACTTTATTCGTTATGCTTGTTGTAAAATGACCCTTTTCCAAATTCACATTAATCATTAATTCAAAATAATTAATTAATATAACTAATTCAAAACCAAATAATAAATAACACTCTAAATCACATAGTATATATTAACCATTCGACCAATAATTATTGAACATCTATATGTGTATAAATTAAATTATAAATAAATATGAACATATTCATGTCAACAATTGGAAACACCAAATATAAAGTTTAAATGACTTTATAAAATAATGTTTTTTTTCATAGTCGATACCCCCATTTTTATATATAATCTTATTAAAGAGCACCAGAAAACTGTCGTACATCAGAAAATAGTCGTACACATTGTTTTAAGGTTTTTTTCTGTATAAAGTCGGGTTTTTATTTTTTCAAAACCCAATTTTTTTCCTGATTGTTTAGTCAAATTTTATATGTGAAAAAATATACCCGATTTTTTGGTTTGTTTGATACTAAAAACACAAGTGTAAGACAATTTTCTTGCTGTACGACTATTTTCTGTTGGTCTTTATATAAAAATTAGTTAATATTAATATAGTTTATATCAATAAACTGTATTTTCAACTTCTAATAGTTTATCAAAACATAATTTCTAAAAACAGTTTAAATTATCACAAGACAAATTCTATAATATAATAATGTATAGTAAAATATTTAGAGATTTGATTTTTTATGACATTTGTTTATTTTTTGATCAATTTTTTTTCTATTTCAATAATAATCATTAGTCAAATTCAGCCATTGTCTTTTAATTCCATTTTTGGTTCAGTAATTAAATCCAATATATTTTTGAATGAATAAATCGCTTATTTAGTTAATTTTCCATTGTTGTTTTACACAAACAATGGAATTAATTAAGATTATACTTAATTGAGATAAAGTATAATCTTAATTTAGTATATTTCTCTAGTAACAGGTATATCAAACTTACAAAGTTTATAAATACAGCATATCTCTTATTTGGATGGGTTTTATCTCTTTTACTGTTCAAGCAAATTATAACATATTGTGATTCTTGTGATAAAATACATTTCTAATCATTTATTTGTATCATTTTGTTTCAATAAATATTAAAATTGCTTATAATTATAAAACATGAGAAAAAACAATATTATTTCGATAATGTACAATAAAAGCTAAAATATCTTATAATTCGGTTGATTCTAATAATTAAAACAAAAAAGTCACATGAAAAAAAAACAAAATAATATTTTTTAACAAAATAAACTTAGTTTCATAATTTTAAAGTTAAAAAGTGTTTATTTATATTTAACATCTTTGCAAATTATTTCATGTGGTAATTTTTCACACTTTATAACAACAATTTTTGTCTTTTGAGTTGCTCCTTCAATTTCAACGAGATTTTGGCAATTTTGAAGGTGAACATATTTTGTGTTTGGTGAAAGAACAACTTTTGTGAGATTTTTGCAATTAATGACAACCAATTTTTCCACAGTTTTCAAACACACAATTTTAGAGCAAAGCGCCCAACTTACATTTGAACACTTTCTACCAACCATGTAATTTCCAGAAATAGTTCGTTGACTGTCTGTTGCAATTTCTCTGAGGCGGTTAACTTTTTCATTTTCAAACCACCACTTTTGAGTCTTTTTGTGACTTTATTTAATTTCACTTCTGAAAAGTCATATTTCTTAGCATAGAATGGCGGGTTGGGGAGTTGCATAAATTTAGTTTGTAAGTACTTCGTGTAATATCCTGACATTAACATTTTATAGTTTGGTTTATAAGGAATATATACATAAGTCTGTAAGCCGACATCAAAGAACCTCAACAAAATGTTCTTTTTGCTCTTTCTTAAAATGACTTCTTCAGTTTGTATATTACTAAAGTCGTTGGACTTCATGTTGTACACGTCACAAACAACAATTGCGGTGTCAAAATTTCCTTTTTCAATTTTAAAAGACGGCTCTGTGTAATTTTTAAGAAGTGCAACACGATGAGCGACTTTACCGACAATTGTAATACTTTTAGATGGCAATTTATCAAAATCAATTTTTGTGTTTTTTGATAAACTTTCTTCTTCGCTACTATCATCAACAACATTTAACCAAAAATAGTCATTAGTAGTGCAAAAATTACAATGTTGGGGTTTTGTCTCATCTTCCGGCTCTTCATATTTATGACAACTTTTTATCTTTTCATTAATTGTGTGAATATCCAAAGTTTTTATATTTTCAATAAATGTAGTTGGAATATCTCTTATTGGCTTTTCTGTTGGTTTTTCCCATACTACATTTTCTACATTTTCACACACAAAAGTACTGCCACTGGGGACTTTCAAAATTACTTTCTTAGTTTTTCCAACTGTGAAAACTCCTTTTTTGAATGAGTCAATTTTTAAAACAAAAGGAAGTGATTTGGGTAGGTTTGCAAGTTTTTGTGGGTCATTCACTGTCCCTTTAATTATGTTTTTGCCAACAAACACGGCTGAGTAGAAATGAGATAAAAGCTCTTTGTGTGTTTTGATAAAAGTGTTGTTAAATTGTGAGAAGTCGCTGTCTGTTATCTTTGTCTTTGTACCATTTTGAAAACCATCAACACAACTTCCTTCAAGTTTCAAAAACACGACTTTTGGTTGTAATTTTAATTTGAATTTGTTACGAGTCGAAACGTCTTGTTGTAAACTCAAATTTGAGTTGCAACAAAACACGAAATATGCAACTTCAAAACAAGTATTTTTGAAATTCAAATTTTTGCACTTTTCACATATAATTTGATGGGAAGTTATGTTTAAAAGTTCAACATTTTTACATTCAAAAGATTGAGTCAACAACAAAGGAAAGTCTCCATCTTGTTTAATGCTCAATCCGTCAACATGTTGAACTAAAAAGTAATCACATTTGCCTTTTAATTGTATTTTAATATTACACCCCATATCCATTCGCACAAATTTTGTATTTTTGAGGTAGATGTCAACATCCATACACTTATTCAACTCAAATCTGTTACATGAAAAATCGTCCAATTTAACATTAGCAACTCCTTTCAATACCATTTGTTCCATTCCACGCTGTGGAAAGAAGATTTCTCTGACGTTTTTATGAAGAACGTAATTGGCAAACATCAGTCCAGACAAATTTGATTTTATATATTCTGTTTTACTCGCACATTTCTCCACCATTTCTAAATTTCGTTTTTTGAAGTCTTCAAAAAAGTTGGTTTTTTGTTTTTCTTCTTTTAAAAAGTTTAAACACGTTTCTTTATCAAATTTAACATCAGGATCGTCCTCCCAACTATAGGTCCGATCAAACTCTTCATATTCGCTAATATACTTTCCATAGATAAACACTCTCTTTTTAATTTTCTCATCAAGAACACTAAATATCTCATCACAGTTTTCTCCCAAGTCACAGATGACAACTCCAAGATGCCTGAAGTATTCAATTTTCTCTAAAAATTGAGTGTTCATCGTAATTCGGAATATTGAGTTGGGAATAATTAAACAAATATCACTTGGATTTCCATCAAGTGACACTCGCAAATCGACATAACGTTTCAAGTCATCAAAAAAGTTAATAAAAACGACGTCTTAAAATACAATTTTGTGGATTTGAGGAGAAAACAAAAAGTTTGCATTTTTGGAAAGTATTTTTGGGCGGAGTGTTGTGCACCTCACTGTGATAAGACTCTTTAATGTTGATTTATCTTGATATACAACACCTGAAAATTTAGTCAAATCAACACACTCAATTTTACTCCAAACTCGATCATTTGTGTATACATTTTCTTCGTCACAATAATAACAAAAATCATTCGAAGTTTTCAAATGGAATTTATTAAAAGCATCGTCTACGACTCGGATCTTTTTAACCTTGTCTAAAACGCCACAGTCTTTAAGTCTTGCACCTAGCATCGAATGTGAGCATTGAACAGTTTCAATGTTTGGAATAAATTCAAAATAGAATTTGAATTGTTTTTGAAATTGTGAAAAATAGACAGATCGATTTAAAAGTGGATAGCCATCAAATTTCACATATGGATTTATGTGGAGGGTTTGCAAACTGTTTTTACACTTGTGGTTGATTTCCACAAAATTATAAAGACTGTCCAATGTATTGATGTAAAGCGCCACATTCGAAAGGAAAAACTGCTCAAGTTTAACCATTTAATTTTTACTACTTTCTTAGATTTTAAAAAAATATTTTTATAGTTAATAATATGAGGTTGTTTTTTTCGATAAAATAAGCTTTTTATGTTTTTTAATTTCTTTCAGGGTTTTTATTATAGCTGTTCGGCGACTTTAAAGTCCCTTTAAAAAGTCGCCGACTTCTCAGTAATATCAAATATCGCCGAACTGCCATTAAATAAATTGTATTTAAAAATTTTATTATTCTGGATAGTATAGTAATTATAATTATAGTTAATAATACTTATTATATATATATATTATTAATATTTATATTGTTTGAACGCTTAAATCTGGCAGAAATGAATTTAGGAAACCCGCATT